ACACACTATTTTATTAACAGTATTTTTTGTAATATTCTTTTATTTGTTTGCAAATTATTATTTATCTTAGATATTTTATATTTACGTTTAACGTTGATGAAATTTCGAACGTTGAACAAAAAAATAGAAATTTACACATATACTTAAAAAAATAAAACTAATATAGATGAAAAATATATCTAAATTTTACAAATACATATGTAAAGCAATGAAATTACAAATAGATTAAGAAAAATTAAAAAATATAATACATGGCACAAATAAAATCGGTATGCATCTCTCAGGTAATAGTTTCAAGCGTTTCAAACTAACAAGTACAAATATAATGTTATTGATTTATATGTTTGTTGAAAATAAAAACATTAAATACAAAGTTTGAAAGGTAAGCCTATAGGATTTGTATATATTTGCATATTAAAGTAGAGCTCGGACGTTTGGGAACTATCAGGAGGCACACGCGGAAAACCGCGCGCGAGTTAGTTTAATGTTTGCTAAAGTGAAGAAGCAACATTTCTGCGCTTTATTTTTATTGAATAGGCCGAACATTCGATTCATTCACAAGCAGCGATTTTCTGCACGCGCACCGTGATCATGCGATCCGAGCCCTACATACAAGATATACAGGTCTTTATAAAAATAAGTGTTTTTATTTTTTACCGTCAAAGAACGAAAAAAATATTATTGCGTTTTTATTTGTTGCCATAAAATACTAATTAATCGCTTGCAATATTGATATCAATTTTGTTTCCATTTTTTATCGTTTATTATTATTGATTTACTTATAATTTTTAATTAAATTATATTTTTAGATGTAATATACTGTTCATTTTTGTACATATGTATATTTTGTACACTTGTGGTGTAATATTATAAGTGATACATTTTTGCTGTATGAACGCTAACAACTTCAACTATGTTAACATATTAGAATTTCCAATAAAATAAAATATAAATTTCCATTTTATCTATATATTCTATTTATTAATTATATTTTTAGTTTCATAACGAAAACTACTATAATAAAATAAGAATTGATAACATTTTATGAAAAAAAGATTTTTCAATTATAATCCCTGTGTCTCGATAAAAATAATTTTAATTTAGGTATTGGCATACGTTCCATTTTTTCGGGCGATTTTCAAGCTCCGCCTAGCGCTTATTTCTCTTTCCTCATCGCCCCGTACGCAATCCTAATGTCGTTCAGGAGCGTATAAAACATGTACACAAATTTCCCCATCACTTATAATATATTATTATTGACGTATCGTAAATGATTTTGCGAATGGTATTCTCGATACACCTAATCCATTGATGCGTTATCATCCTGAAATATGAAAAGAATTGTGTGAATAATACTACTTCATAGGTGGTGTAGAAATCTATTGAAAACGTTTGCGAGCGTGATACGCTCGTGAGTGGTATGCGCGCGGGGCAGTGCGGTAAGAAGAATGAATAAGCGCTAGGCGGAGCCAAGCTAAAAATCGGTCGAAAAATGGAACGCGTGTCGAATCTCTGGATTGCCGAATCAAATAACGTATTGGTGTAACGATCACGATGCACAGTAATGAGAAGATAAATCAAATTTTCACATATTTAACTTTTATTACTACTCTCTAAAAGTGATTGAGTGAAATAATCACTAATTATCAGTGTATATTATTTTCCAGTGGTATATCTAGAATTATGATAAATAGTGAATATTTTAATGTCGCTTCAGTGATAATACTGATTTAAACAGTAAATATTACTAAAAGACAGTGAATTTGACTGTTTGACAGTGAAATTCACTGTCTTTCAGTAATATTCACTGTTTAAATTAGTGTATTCTCACTGAAGCGACATTGAAATAGTCACTGTTTATCACAGTTCTAAATATGTCATTGGAAAATGATATACACTGACAATCAGTGATGATTCCACTGATGCACTTTTAGAGAGTAACTCTGCGTGATATGTTATCTCAAATATATAACAAATAATAAGTAATAATCTTTTCATAAAAAAATTGATAGTTTACAAATCATTCGTTACAATTGAATTTTATTATACAAGCTTTATAACTCTTTATACAATATAAATAACATAATATATGCAAATGAAATTTGTAAAAATTTTGACGCAATGTGACATATGTTTTAATAATAAACACCATGAAAATTATATTTTTTTTACGTTTGGGAGACAAAATTGTATATAAAGATTTTTTTGCAGAAAGTTGTTCGAAATGACATATTATATAACATTAAAAGTCCTGGCTGCCTGCGTACTTGAGTAAATTTCCAGCTTCAAAAAAGAAACCAACATTGCTATTTTTCAAAAATATCTCTGAAAGTATTGATTTAATCGAAATAAAGGTCGAAAAGAAAGGTAGCCAAATTACGGAAAATTTGATTTTTGTTAAAGGTCGTACACG